AGGTTTAATGGTATCCCTATTAGCAAGCTTAATAGTAACATCAATGTCTTCTAATTCAACGGGTGCAATGTCGTGCATAATCTCTTTATATAAATCATAAGGGATAGCGCTGGCACTAGCACCCATATCACATAAACCATGATAACAATGATCTCCTATTTTAACAGAAATAACAGGCGTGCCTACGACAGGTCTACGTGTCTTAGTATATGGCCTAGCAATATTAGAAGTCTCACCACAGAAAGAAATAACATGCCCATCTAAGTCCTCATCCAAGAGATCTTTAACCATAGCAATACTAGGTTCAACATTAATTTGCTCAGGAGGTGTATAAGTCCTAGTATTACTCTTACGAACAACAGTCGAAGCTTTAGCATGATCCTTTATCCTAACAGGGAAAGGAGGTTTTTCAACATAAGAAGTAGGAACAATAGGATCACTATAGGCAATAGTCGTTTCTTCGACTGTAATAGGTGCAACTACTTTCACTTCAACAGGAGGATTATATTTAAACCACTTCTCTTTAGGGAGATCAACATGAATAGCAAAAGATTCACAAAAAGTAGCTACTATCTCAGAGTCAAGTCCATACTTAGCGCTAAATCCACGAAAAACATCGGTATCCATAAAAAATTTGACACAATCGAACTTAGGTGTCATACCTGACTCCTTACCATCGTCGGAACCCCAATCTTCAGAGTTGCGTTTAATTCTTTCCAATAAGTCCCATTTGAAATCAATAGTCTTCAGCATATAAGAACCAACACAGGAAGTATCGAGCAGGTTGCGATTATCAAGAGAAAGCCGAGCATAAAATTTTTGAATAATCATTTCCCGAGAGAGCTCATGATTGGGGCATGAATATAACATTGACTTAAGCCTCCCCCAAGCTTGAACGATGCTTTCTCCTTCGCGAGGCCAGAAATTATATATGTAATTACGATCACGATGAACAAGATGCATAGGATAGAACTTCTGGTGGAATTCCAACTTCAATCGCTTATAATTCCAAGATCTCGTATCATCACATAGCCTATACCATGTCGATGCATCTCCCTTCAAAGATAAAGGGAAGACCTTCCTTTTGACAACATCATCAGAAATACCTGCAAGCTTAAATAATCCACAAACTTCATCCACAAAGATAAGGTGTAAATCGGGATGTAATGTTCCATCTCCTGCAAATGGATTAGTTAGCAGTTTCTCTATCATACCCGAAGGAATATCAAAGTGAATATTTTCATAAAGTTCAGTAGGTTGAGGAGCAACTCTTTGCTCTTCTGGTTGGGGTGAAGATACCCCAAACAAGCCCCTCAAAGGATTAGTTTCCATAGTGACAAGTAACGGAAAATTTCAGCACACTATATAAATGTTTCCTTACCAAGTTCCACTCACCAAAAGCGCTACACTCCCCGGCAACGGCGGCAGAAAAGAGTCTTGATGACCCACAAGTGTAGGGGATCTATCGTAGTCCTTTCGATAAGTAAGAGTGTCGAACCCAACGAGGAGCAGAAGGAAATGATAAGCGGTTTTCAGTATGGTTTTCTGCAAGCACTGAAATTGTAGGTGATAGATAGTTTTATGATAAGATAAATAGTAACGAGTAACAAGTAAATAAAGTAAATAAGGTGCAGGAAGGTGGCCCAATCCTTTATTTAGCAAAGGATAAGCCTGGACAATTTCTAATAATGAGAAAGGAGCTCCCGAGGACACATTGGAAATTATCGTCAAGCTAGTTTTCATCACGCTCATATGATTCGCGTTCGGTACTTTGATAATTTGATATGTGGGTGGAACGGTGCTTGGGTACTGGCCTTACTTGGACAAGCATCCCACTTACGATTAACCCCCATTGTAAGCATCCGCAACTACAACAAAAGTATTAAGGTAAACATAACCATAGCGTGAAACATGTGGATCCAAATCAGCCCCTAACGAAGCAACGCATAAACTAGGGTTTAAGCTTCTGTCACTCTAGCAACCCATCATCTACTTATTACTTCACTATGCCCTCCTCTAGGCCCAATAATGGTGAAGTGTCATGTAGTCGACGTTCACATGACACCACTAGAGGAGAGGACAACATACATCTCATCAAAAATATCGAACGAATACCAAATTCACATGACTACTAATAGCAAGACTTCACCCATGTCCTCAGGAACAAACGTAACTACTCACAAAGCATATTCATGTTCATAATCAGAGGTGTAATAATATGCATTAAGGATCTGAACATATGATCTTCCACCAAGTAAACCAATAAGTATCAACTACAAGGAGTAATCAACACTACTAGCAACCCACAGGTACCAATTTGTGGTTTTGGATACAAGATTGGATACAAGAGATGAACTAGGGTTTGAGAGGAGATGGTGCTGGTGAAGATGTTGATGGAGATTGACCCCCTCCCGATGAGAGGATCGTTGGTGATGATTTCCCCCTCCCGGAGGGAAGTGTCCTCGGCAGAACAACTCTGCCAGAGCCCTAGATTGGTTCCGCCAAGGTTCCGCCTCGTGGCGGCGGAGTTTCGTCCCGTAAGCTTGCCCACGATTTTTTCAGGGTAAATATGATGATATAGCAGAAGATGGACGTCAGAGGCCCACCAGGGGGCCCAAGAGATAGGGGCGCGCCCTATAGGGTTGGGGGGCGCCCCCTGTCTCCTGGACAAGGTGTGGGCCCCCTGGCCTATTTCTTTTGCTCAAAAATTCTTATAAATCCCAAAAAGCTGTTTCGTGGAGTTTCAGGACTTTTGATGTTGTGCAGAATAGGTTTCCAACGTTTGCTCCTTTTCCAGCCAGAATTCCAGCTGCCGGCATTCCCCCTCTTCATGGTAAACCTTGTAAAATAAGAGAGAATAGCCATAAGTAATGAGATATAATGTGTAATAACAGCCCATAATGCAATAAATATTGATATAAAAGCATGATGCAAAATGGACGTATCAATAGGTCACTAATATTTGCTCATTTTCCAGTCCAGAACTCCAGCTGCCGGTATTCTCCCTCTTCTTGTAAACCTTGTAAAATAAAAGAGAAAAGGTATAAGTATTGTGCTATAATGTGTAATAACAGCCCATAATGCAATAAATATCAATATAAAAGCATGATGCAAAATGGACGTATCAGCCACCTCCTTCTACGCACAAAGAAAGACGACGACCTCCGCCTCCGTAGCGAGCACCTAGGCCGCTCGTCACTCTCTCTCAGCTCGCCACTCGCTGATGTAAATGGGACAAGATGATGACCGGGGAAAGGGGATAAGGTCGCGGCCTCGTCATGCGTTCATGGTGATGCAATATTTAGCGAAACAAAAGAGAAAACTAACGTGGTAGTTCCTTTGCTTCAAGATCCGTGCAACCGATCTGACGGAAGACACAACGTTCGCTGGAAAGGGTCAAATATATGATTTTTCACCCGTTATAAATTCTGAAATTGTAAGGGCGGAAGAAGTAGGAGGCTCTGTTCTAGGGTTTATTATTGTTTGAGATGCTCTAATATCCACAAATGACTAAACTAAAAGCATGTAGTCTAAATGTTTTGACCGCTTTGCACCCCAGTTAGTATTGATATCTTTGTCCCATTTGACAATCTATGTTGAATACAATCGGTGAGAGGAAAGTATCTAGTGCACTCGTCCTTTGTGGTGCCACCATTGTGCCCAACACATGTTGAGGCTTTCGGAAGTTTCAAAAAATTATGAAAACAATAAATGATATTGGTAATGCTGATATCTAACATATCACAAAAACTGAACAACACAACTCAAGAAAACAAATGGATAGTATTGAACTGAAGAGTGCCTAATGCAAGTGGGGCTTTAATTTTGACCCATTTCCAGGCTGCTAACGGTCCTTATATCGAACACAGACCGGCCATCCAAGGAGAAAACACATGTCTGACATATGGTGTCAGGTGAACATCGACAATCGATTGTCACAACATAGGGATGAAACTAATCAGCCTTGACTTAATTTTGTAATTTTAAATATAAATGGTCAATCTATGCCGCCAAAATTGCAGAATAATAGGAGCCACAACTTAAGGTGTACTAGTTTTCTTTTTGCATGAAAAAAAAACTTAACGCGAAGTTGATATCACAAAATCGTTTAAAGCATGGTATCACTATACCCAAGGAGACATGGCTTCTTGTGAATCATGGTGAAATGGGCTGAAATAGTGTGGGGGTGGGTGGAGACAGCCATTTGGGCCTGTCCGAATGCTTCGTTTCTGCTGGACTGAGCCCATCGTGATGCTTTTTCAACTGCGATGAAGGCGAAGCAGGAGCGATCATTTTCCCGTCGTCGTTGCTTGGTTCGCCCGTGCGCGGCTCGTGAACCCCGAGCCACCTGTTACAGCCGGCGCCTGACACGGCAGCCAGCCAGCTACGGCCGGCCTACGGTACGACACCTCCCCGGCCGGCCGGTCACGGGTCGCCACGTACGACTCCATCGCGCCCCAACCACCTGAGCACGAGCTTCTCCGCCTTCCTGTAAACAAACTTACTCCGTATCTGGAACGGGATGGAGCTAGAGCCTAACTCGAACTCGACGATCGTCTATTTCCAGCCAGAGCCAGGGTTGGATAGGAGGATAACCGGATAGGATAGCCATGCACGCATGCATGCGGGGCGCCATTGATCGGTCGGGTGAGTCTGGGAGAGAGAGGCCTGCGAAACCAGTGAACTAACTGGGGCGGGAGGCCTATTGATTGGCCGGCCAAGAAAGCGATCCATCGTCAAGCCGATCGATCGAGTCGATCGTCACGGGGTTCCCGTGCCCGATCCGCTCCCACTTCCCGGCTTCCCGGAGAGCAAACGTCCACGTATAAAAGCCTCGTCAACCCTCCCCTCCACGATCGCAACCGATAGCCCACGCGCGGGCGCGCTCCACCGATCCCATCCCATCCCATCCCATCCGCCGCTCGCCCTACCGCCTCTTTGTGCGCCGCGACCGGCCACCACCACGGCACGGCCGCCCCTCCAAATCTCATCCCTATCCGATGCTGCTATCCGTCTCCCGCTCCGCCGACAAGTTCGCCCCCCTCGCCGGCCTCCGCTCGCTGCTCGTCCCCGACCCCGTCGCCGTGGGCGGAGGCGTCGTGACGCGGACGATCCCCGCGTCGCCGCCGCCGCGCGGCGAGGCCGATCCGGAGGAGAGCGTCGACGAGGAGGACGAGGGCTGCTGGGTCTCTTACGGCCGACGGGACCCAGGACGGCGCCGGCTGCCGCCGCCGATCCCGTCGCTGGCGGGCCGTAGCGGTTTGCGCCGGGCGCGCACTGAGGACAGGAGGCTCGTCATCAGCAAGGTGCGCGTCATGCGGCCGGACTACTACGTCCGCGCGCGCCGCGTGCGCGGCGGCCGCCTCCTCATGCGCCTCGTCGAGCGCGAGGACGACTGCCCCCGCGATCCGCTTCGGGCGCCCGGCTGCGCCCGTGAGGGCGGCGCCGATCGGGCCGACGAAGCTGCGGCGGTGCAGGGAGACGTAATCGATGACGAGCAGGCGGCTGCGGCTTCGGCGACGATGCCCGCATTTGGATGCTTCGAGGACGTGGTTAAGTACCAGTACGCCATCGGTAGCAGCCCGCTGCACCGGGTGCCCTTGCTAAGGATGGTTCATTGAGATCGATCGCCAAAGGTGGGACTTTTTTAGCTGCTTGCCTTTGATGGTGCATTGGGATCGCCTAGGTGATTTTTTTTTTGTAGCCGTGTGTACTAGTAGTGGTCAATATGCCTCCAAATTGCAGCATAGTTTTTTTTACAGAATTGTTGATAAAAAATCAGCCCATGAATCAAGTTTGAAATTGCTCCATCTATTTCTTGACACTACATGTTAGCAGGTTTGCTCAAGAATATAACCCAATTGCCAACCTTAGGGTGTGTTTGGTTGCTGTGACCAAATAGAACGTCATGGGTCCGACCCGTTCTCGCAGCTCATTCCCGCGTATGGTTAGTCGAACGAATTAGAACCCACCCGTCCCAGGGAATGGAATATTCGCTCATTATCCGGAATAGAGGCATACCTCGAAATCGACCGGACGACAGGGAACGAGCCCTCGTTCCCCTCGGCCCACGCCCGTACCCTATCCTCTCGCAACTCCTCGCACTAGCGCCGCCACCCTCCTGCATTTCCCTCTCTCTCGATCTGCCTTCTCCATCCCTTCCCGGCGCTGGCTTCACGTTCCTCCCGTCGTCTCCTCTGTGATGACGCGCATCTGCACCTTGGCGGCGACCTAGCAGCAGCGAGCCAGCGACGAAGCAGCGGGGCGGTTACCACTCAGGGGGCAGCGGCGAGAGAGCAGGGAGCGACCGGAGGTGCTGCGGCAAGGTCTGGATCGGCGGCGGCCATGTACGCTCCTGTTTGGGCAGATTTTATTTCCTGTACGCTCCTCAATTTGTTT